GGCTTTGCTTGGCGCAATAAATCATTGCTAAGTTAGGAAAACGCTATGAAAACTTTTCTTATCTTTATTCTTTCATTTTATCAAAATTTTCCATTCGAATTTTAATACTCCCTTCTGAGGTGGCGTGGAGGTATACACCTGCTAAAAATCATCTGCGTCATTGACATCCACTGATGTTGGTGGAGGCGCAGCCGACATTAAGTGCGTGAAGCTCCCAGGGGGAGTGAACTCGGTGTACATACATAGACACATACACATGCATACGCCAACGCTGCGCACCTTACCCAACCCCATCACCCCTTATTTTTCTCTTTTCCATTTTTTTTCTTCTTTTCTTCCTACCCAACTCGTCGCGCCGCTCGGCGCCGCGTCACATCGATGACTCTTCCCACTCCGTTTTTGTACAAGGGAATGACGTCCGTGGGTTCCCAGGGACTTCTCCCAACGCATAGGCGTCCGAGGAATGGGGAAAAATTCATAATCCGGAAATGTCTTTGGTTCACTAACCGAGTACTCATGTGGGTGTTGGCACGGATACCAATTTCCTCACCCTGAAGCTTCCAGAATTTTCCGAAATTATTAATCCAAAGTTAGCAATTACTTTGATAATTGCAGGAACATTACTATTTTATCATTTTATTCCCGATTTTCTAATCGCGCAGCAATAAATGATAAAATAATTCAATTTCTAGTAATGAGGATTATTCGTGAATTTTGAAATGGAAGTACTGTGAAACATTTGCACGTAATAATTGAACAGAGTATCATGGCATATACCGTCGTGATGATTCACTTTTGTCCCCAAGCGCCTAATCTCTAAGTGGTGTCGTTCGTCTCAACGTGGAAAGAGAAGGATGATGGTAGTCGAAAGTAGTCCCATTGCAGCTATGCACACCTGACGAATGGGGTCTCATAAGTGCAGTTGGGAGTGAAATTTCTCTCTCCTTCAATTTGTAATAATTCCATACATTCTCCATGGGAGAGGAAAGTGCATGGAGTTTAGCGCGAATAAGACGCTGTCCTTTAGTTCGCATTTATAGTTATATACAGCTTATATTGTTTACCCAGTAGGCCTGGTATAGTGTGTTAGGAAATCCATGGTAGCCATGGGATAAAGGCGAGATGGAAAGGTAACGCGATAGGAGTCTCACCGCTACCCAATCTATCCCTGCTGGTTGGAGCCATGAAACCTTATCCCTCTTTCAGCTCCTTAAAAGGACTCCTCTCGCACGGCTTCGACGGCTCCAAAAAGCTAAGTGTTAAAGTGAGAAGAGGATAGATTAGGCTTTTTTCTACTATTTTTTTTTTCACTGGGTTTATCGGTGATCCGCACTTCTCTCCATTCTCAATTTTCGAGGGACCGCCTCAGGTCCAGTACAGATGAAGGATTGCAATGTTTACAATAAATCGACGGTTTCGTAGTCTTTCCATCACAGCCTCGAAAAAGTGTTCAATTCATCAATGCAAAAGAACATATTTGCATTGATGTTTGTACCAGTGTGGAGTAATGGCTCTCTGGGGGGAAAGGTACATCCCTTGACGATGGCCAATGAAAATGGTAGTAATCATATTGTTGGTTTGAGCTGAGGGATAAAGTTAAAGATTAGTTGAGGGTGTAGAAGGGGTGGATGTGGGAGGGAAGCGCTAGAGAGTCCATATGAAAAAGGGCTGGAGGAAGGGAAAGGAGGATGGAGCACCCAACTGGCGAAGGTATAGATGGAGGGTTGCAGTAGAGTAAGAGAGTGTCTAGACAGACAGGGGGGTGAACCGGTTGGCTAGCCGTGTGCGGGTTGCATAGGTAGTTGCAGTGGTGCAACGTTGATACTGACGTGTGTTGGAGTGCATTTCAGAGAAGGGATACAAGTACTTGTCGCACTGCTCCGAGTCGTTGCACACTGACGCCATAGCAAGACACAAAGTTATCATCTAGAACCGACAGTAGAGCAAAGTAACTAATAAAAATATTGGGGTCAATCAGAGTTTTAATGACGGCTACTGGTGCAGCTTAATTAAAATGTCATTGCCTTGATTTTCGAAAGTTTTCGCGGTGCACGGTGAGGAATTGAGTTTTGAGGAATTCAGGAATTCAGGAATTGGCATTATATTAATCACGAAGCTGAATAAAATAATGCTCCAAGGGACAAAAAGAATAGAGAAAAAAGAGTGGAAAACCAATATCGCTGCGGAGAACACATCAACGGGCTAGGCCGCCATGCCAGTTTATTTCGTGATTTTTAAAGGGTAGATTGATGGCATCAGAGCCCCCGCTGTCTGCTGTGCCGAGTTGGCGTTTTCATCTTGATCGTCGGACGAACGTCCACCCAATATTTTTTATCCCCCTGCCGAAGCCAGATTCACGCGTACATATACCACACAGAGCGATTACAGATGCGTCACTTCTGGAATTCCCAAAAGCCATTGACGAGCTGATCGGTCGGAGGCTATCGTACTGCTTCTGTGTTGTTGGCCATTTGTACTTATCGTTTTATGGCCCGTTACCGGAGATAAATCACTAAACTTTTTGAATAAATCGGAAAAATGTCGGCCCTCGGCAAGAATCCCCGGTCACCATTCGTGGAACTCCATTATCATAATTGACAAATTGAAGAGTAACACTGTTAATCCGGGTAAAAAAAAAATGTAATCGGAATATTTTTTTCAAATTTTCCAAAAATTTCTGGAAAAAAATTCTATTTTCATTTCTCAATCAAATTAAATCCTTTCCTGGACTAATAGAGAGGTCCACTACTCAAAACTCACGAGTTTTCGCGAGAATTTTCAAAAGAATTAATTTTCACCGACTTTCATGGGTGATGGTCCAGTGATTTTT